GACCTGGGAGAGACGATAAGCAACGTGCCCCAGCCCATTCCAGTTCTCAGCTCGGAATTGTGTCATTCCAGAGAAGGACTTCTCTGATCGCATCATCACTGACAAATTGCAAAGCTGAGAGGTTGCAAACCATGGCACTGGAACAGAAAAGGAATGCTGCAAAACAGCAAAAGCAAGCAACACCCAAGGCCTAGTCATCCACACGATAGGTGCAAACCCAGGCTCTTCATCTGTGGAGATTTCCACTGCAAACTGCAATGAAGCTTTACCAGAAGTAATTAGTCCACATGCATTTCAAAGAGGGAACCAAAAATAACTGAACTACTTGTCATCAAGGCAAAAATAAATCCGTCACTGCAGCGTTGCGGCCCTTGGCTCCCCTAACTTCCACCCCTGGGGTGGGAGCAGGGAGGACCCCTGGCCATCGACTGCGTTGGCCATACAGTCACCTCCTGCAGCGTCAAACTCATCTTTCCACCTTTTCTAGGACTAGGACCCATGTCTGCTCTCTACAGCACTGAGCATATGTTGCTCCTCCAGCTCACCCCACAGCTGCATCTGAAGCTCAGGAAGAACTCAGGGCCTTCAGTGTCTCTACAGGCCTTACCAGGGCCAGACTCCAGCCAGGCCTTACTGGCCAGGGCCAGACTCCAGCTGGGCCTTACCAGCCTTACCAGGGCCAGACTCCAGCCAGGCCTTACTGGCCAGGGCCAGACTCCAGCTGGCTCTTCTACACAAGGTCATTCTTGCTCTTGGCCAAACCGGTTAGCTTGCAAAGAGAGCTCAGCAGGCTCCTTTCCACCTACTCCACTCTTAAAAGCAGCACTTTAAAAAACGAGTGGTGCTTATTTTTTGGATAAACCCCTTTTCCTCCCATTTTGTTAAAAAAAAAAAGGGGCCGCCACCTGGCAGGGCTCAGATAGAGGCCCCTCGTTCGGCTCCAGGTCCCGCGCGCGTCGTGATGTTGTCACGCCAACACTTCCTCATCCCGAAATGCCCTGCCAGATTACTAGAGCCATTTGTGCGCAGATTAGCAGGAGAGGTCTTACAAATGACACGCCAGTGTAACGGGCTGATTGGAGACAAGTCATTATGGGGGAGGGACATCACCCCAAGAACATCAGAGGAAAGTCTCTGACTCACAAAATGAAAGTGGATTATCTTCCGCCTGCAAGCAATCAATTTACCTGATCTTGTGCGAAGCTGATTTGCATGCTAAACGACTTGCCAATCAGATACAAACCAGGAATCAAAAGGCTGCTGAGGGCTGTTTCTCCTGCTGGACAGGAACCATAACAGAGGGACATTTTGTGTTTGCAACAGTGAGCCTTCTGCAATACTGATGCAATAGCAGCTCTGAACAGCACAGAAAAGAGATGGGTAAGAAACTGCAACCCCAAAGACCCATGAGGGTCTCCCAGAAAAAAAAAGATGTGGGGGGATTCTTGCTCCTCCCCCACAGCTGGAAATCTGAAATCTAAACACCTTTCAAAATCTGAAGGATGACATCACCGGGGGTCTCCACACACCCGATCCAGGGTTTTAGGGATTCTGCTTGCTCATCTGTAACTCCTGAATGCACCCATCAGAAAAAAAAAGAAAGCTTTAGGACTGCAAACATCCAAACACATCATTTTGCTCCAGCTGCACTGCTGCAGGCAGAAGACGGAGACGTTGTACATTTCCAGGCAAAGCAGAGAGGTTTTGTGACCTCGTTCCCACATAAATCACTATCAAAACTATTTACTTGAACTGGTCTCCACAGCAGAGAGCATCAGTTCTGTGGAGAGCGCTCATAGGGTGGTCAAAGAATAGGTTTGGAAAAAACTGAAATGTACTGAGTAGCACAGGGCGAGAGGGGAAAAAAATACAAAAAGAAGAAAACGAGTGGGGACACCATCCATTTTGACACCTGGCAAGTGAAATTTAACGCAGAGAAGTGCAAAGTGCTGCAGGCAGATAGTGAGAAAATACATTTTGACTGCAAGGTGGGTGGAAGCAAGCGAGCTGAAGGAATTCACGAAAGGCAGCAGTGTGGCGCAGAGGTCTGGTTACCGGATAGTTGCGGGTTCAAATCTCACCAGAAAAGCTGAAAAGACCACCAGAGGCTGTTCCTGGTCTAGAAAAGCTCACCAGCAGAGGCTGATCTTTCCGCGACAGTTAAAGAGGTTTGAACCATCACAGGAAACAGTGACCCTTTCCTACAGATGGGTCATGGAGAGCATGTTGACCTTCTCCATCCCTGTGCGGTTTGGCAACACTTTTGCCCGGGACAAGAAGCCGCTAGAGAGAGTAGAGTAGTTCACCTCCAAAGCTGGAGGACTCACCCCACCTCTCCAGACTGAAACACAAAGTCCTTTAGGTCCTCCCAGACCCTTCCCAGCCTTCCCCAGCCTCTGCTCACTTGCCTCCCCACTGGTAGACGGCTCAGGTCTATCAGGAGCAGGACTACCAGGCTCCCGAACAGCACCACCTAGAGTCTGTGATTTGAATAAACTCTGCACTTTCAAGGCTGAAAATTTTGGATGGCTCAGTGTTAATCTCTCTCTCACTGCTAGTTATTGTATTACTGATGTGCGTTTAGGACGGTTTGTGAATGTGTCAGGTGGATGCTGTCTGTTACTGGTTTTATGTTGAACATTTGTATTGTATATCTTTTATATGTATGAGCTCACCAAACCAAATTCCATACCATGCGTTGTTACGGCAATAGAAGTATTGGACTGAAATCCCAGATGGAGCACTGGGGTTGTACCCTGAAGGAAGATGCTCCACTCCGTAAGATAGCCAGATGTTTAAATGGGGACAAATGTCAGTCACTTGAGACAAGAGCATCAGCTAAATTATTGCTAATAAGAATAAAAAGCAGTCATTCAATTCCAGTCTGTAATCACCAAAAGGCAATGTTTGTAAGTGGAGGGGTGTTACTTTTGTGTGCTGGATCAATTCCACTCTGATTTTGTTCAACCTGTGGGCATCCCCAAAGTTCCTCTAATTCAACCAAGGAAGCAGGTTGTCTCCTCTCCCTGGTCTGTGCAGTGGAGCTGCTGTGCATCTTCCAGGTGGGGGCTGAACTGCAGCGGTGTGTGTGTTTGGCAGTGCATCTTCACCAATATCTATAGAGCTTTGAAATCCTTCGAGATAAAAATCACATTGTAGATGCAACCGTGACAAATGACCATTTGGACAAAGGTGCTGTAGGAGATGTAACAGGTCACAGCGCCAAGCAGTAGCAGTCTTGCTTGGATCACCACGGCCTCGTGCTTTACAAACATGCTCTGCAAGGAGAAAGAGTGGCACCAATCTTGTCGATGCATTTACTCAGGCGAGGACGTGTGTATTATGGCAGGGGGTCCCCAACCCTGAGCTTGGAACCCCAACACTCCTGCTGGTCTTGGTCCTAGGTCAGTTCCGAGTCACACAACTGAACCCTTACAGTGGGATTAATCAGAACTCTTCGATTAATTTCACACTTTCCATGTTCAAGAAACGTATCCCTTTTAACAAAGGCGCAGAGTTTTCTGGTTTTAAAAATAATCAAGATTTCATGTTCCAAACAGCTCCCCCTACAAACATTTTTACTGCCTGTGTGACATTTTGGTGCACCTCCAAAAAATAAAGCTACGTTTGTGCGGAGTTCTTCAAAGAGTTCACTGATGGTTTTAAGTAAAAAGCAAAGCGCTGACAAGTTAAGAGTCAAAACAACACATTAATGTCTTCAGCAAGGGACGCTTTCCTGCAGACTTACAGACAGTTTTAAAGGACGGATAATTCACCAGAGACTAGTTTCCACAGTTTACATAACTCAGACAACTCTGCGAAACGTTAATTAATTACCGGTTACCATATTCACACACGGTCCTAGGCGAGGAATGCTGCCCAGCGTGGGATTCAAATTCTGAGGGAAAGTTATCGTCCTTGTGTACACAAATTTGACCACCCATATTTTAAGTATTAAAACCTGCGGCCTGCCTCCTACACACCCCCCAACGACATAAACACAACCAACACACAATCAATTACGGAGATCACAAGACCGTCTGAGCGCAGATACTGTAGCTGTGCTGTACTGCTTCCTCTACTCGCCAGCAATGTGGTATCCATTTAACTTAATGAAAAGCTTTCCTTATTTGAAAAAAAAAGGAAAACTACTATTATGGTCAAACCCGATGTCACATTCACTCAGGTCACGGGGTAGGTACTGGGTTTGACATTGGGATTGTTTAGCCTCTCGATACCAACACCTAATGCTAAAGGTATAAGAAGATTAAGAAAATTATTGCTTTGTTGTTGTTTTTTTAGAAACGTCCTTACAGGCAGCGACTAGGCTATAAAAGAACCGGGGGAGCTGAGGACTGGTAACGCTCGACTCACGGCACCGGCGCAGAGCCGGCAGCGGGAGACGGCCAGGCAGGCGTTAAGGCGCTTCGTGAATAGGAGTTACGTTACCCAGGTACGTCAGCATCCAGTCACAACGCCGCACCGCGGGACAAATGTGAAGATAGATTTAGCAAAAGCGTTTACTCCCCCCTGAAACTTCATTTCATCTCGGCGGAGAAACAGCAGCCCCCAGCCACTTCAAATGAGGAGAGGCTCACCCTCCGCGAGTTTTTGGAAAGACGGGTTTATTGGGTAAACTAAAAGGAAGATAGCGTTCACTTATAAACAGCAACACCAGCAACAACAACAACAACAACAACAACAACCTAAACATGTCGAGGGCAGTACCCCTTAAGAAAAGTTGAACTGAAGAGTTTTTAACCGCAGCGCTTCGCTTTGGGAAACGAGACGTGCTGCGCTTGCCAGACCATGTCAGAGCTCTCTGGTAACAACCCATATTTCGTAATTCGTCCTCCCGAGCTAGTCCAGTTTGATAAAGTGACATGTACCAGTGGGTTCCTATACTGTCCCGGCTACGTGTTTATAGCTGAGATTATAAAACACGGACGGGGAGTGGAGAGAAGAGGAGGAGGAGGGGGAGAGAGAAAGTTAGTAGGTACCTCTCAAACAACAGCCTGACCGCGAAGATCCCCAAGGCCAGCGGTAAGGCAGACAGCACATGTCCGGCTTTGGGGTACTCCACTCCGGGCTCGGGGTCCGCCAGGTCTGCCCAGGTCACATTGTGTGGAAGCCAGAACCGTTCGTTCCAGAACCAGGCTGAGAGAGCAGCCATGTTGGGGAAGAAGGGAGCGACTGAGAGAAAAGGAAGGGAGGGAAAAAAAAATTCGCCGCCCCTTCTCGGTGTAGGCACGGATGAGCAAAGCTCCCCAAGCGCGAACTGTTGAGGAAGTCAGCTCTGCCTTTTCCACGCCCCACCCCCAGACGGCTGTGTGAAGCCGCCAACCCCTCCTCTCCTCTCCTCGTCTCCTCCTCCTCCTCCCAGTCTCTGGCCGAGTCCGCCGCCAACCGCGACGGCGCACCGGCGAGATCAACACCGGCGCGGTGAGCGCCTCTCGGTGGACGGTTTAGCCCGAGTCCCGTGACATCGGCGGACGCAGCGCTGAATCACACAGCGCCGCTACCTACCGGCTTGCACGGTGGCAGCCGGGCCACTCGCCTGGGTCCTGGGTTTGATGTCGGGCTGGCACATGTGCTGTGTCTAGCTTGCATGTGCTCATCAGCGCGGGTTTTCCTCAGGTTCCTCCCAATTTGCGAAGACTGGGCTAGAGTAATTGGCATCTTGGAAGTTCAACACCCCGTTTACGTGGTTGTCTCAGGGTGTACTTTAGACTCCCGACTCTCTGCGCCCCTCTAAGGGTGGTCGGAGGATCACCAGCTGGTGTTGTGTGGATGTTCGCAGAAGCGTATCCACGCCTGGCGCCATGTGTGCCGTGATCCGAGCTTTCATAATTAAATAAAACTGCTAATGAGGCATTGCAGAACCGGATTGCATCGAGTCGCCTCAAATTTGCAAAACAATCCATCTGCATAATCATCCCTGTTTCATACGAAAATGATTACACTACTGGTTAAAAGGTTAAAGGACAGATATATCTTTCCTCTACAAAGGATGGAAAACCTCTTGAAAGAACAGGGCAGTTTTTCCCAGTCAAGGCGAGTTTGGGTTCCAATCTAATCATTTCCTCTTTTAGTTTAGGTTCGACAAGTACCTTTGGAAAGCGCTCCCTCTAACGGCAAAAGCTTAAACTGTTGCATTGTCGAAAATAGAATCGTGCACAACAGATGTAACGTAGAATAATAACACTATTCTACGTTGCTGTTTAATAATGACAACACTGTATGCGGTATGTAAACATATATAAGTATCCAAAGAACCCAAAGCACTCTACATAACACCCCGAGATCCACGTCACCCACCTGCGTGAGGCTTGACAGTCACGCAGGTCCCAGGTAACCCCTGGGGTTATAGTTTTGGGTGTCCTCCGTGGCACTTTCTACCAACAGAGGGCAGTATACGTTCATCAAGTTACAATTTGAGAAACTGACTTTTATTTATGGGATAGAAGGACAGATGTTACTCATAGACTTACACATGTATCCGCCAGATGTAGAATTGAGCAGAATGGATGAGTTGTTTAAGCAATACGGCACCGTGAGAAACCGTGCTATGTCGTCTACCGGCAACCCTTTTAACTGTGTATGTTCGCGATATAGCACAGGCGTCAAGCGCCTTATTGCTTTTATAAAACGGTTGCTGTATAGAATGAATTTTAAAAAAATGACACGAAAACTAAGCTGTTTACGTTCCTCCGCCAGAGAATATAGTCCCTCGTTGCTACGCAACGCAGAAAGACAGCCATAACTAACTAGCAAAGAGAGGACATTAGCTAGCCAATATGATAAAGGAATAATTGACTTTTTTTATTTCTTTTGCACATTTATCTGAACATTTCCAATGATCGCAAAAGCATTGAAAAACTGTCCAATCCCTAGTTCGTCAGGCATTCTCTTTTTCACGCTCCCACTGCTGCTGGTCTCGGTGTCTGTCAGGATAGGACTCCAGCTCTCTCCGTCAGTGAAATCGGGTTTCCAATAACTCCTTTGTGAACTCTCGTTTTTATGTCCACTTACAATCTCCCTTGCTTCTAACCGAGCGTTTGATCATTTCTGCACCATTGTGCTACGAAGGCAGTGGTTGGTGTAAATTTATGTTCCAGCTGCTCTACGTATTCTTTGCAACATTGTTGCAAGATAATTGACGCCCATCGGTTCCTTCGTGAATCTATGTAATCTATGTAGCCTTTCCTGTCTACGCTAAGAAGTCTTTTAAAAGCCCATGCGATCGATTTTATTGACCGTTATTTGTCAGCCAGCGCTTTGTTATTTCTTTATCACAGTAAAAAGTCGAAATTCCTTCTGGGGTGTGCGTATATCAGATTATCAGCCAATCAGCTTTCAGGGTCGGAACTATCCGTTTTATAATTCGTTGTCAATGAAGTGTAAGGGGTCCGAATGGTGAAAACGCGTGATTTTTCTTTTTCAACAAGTATACAGTAGTCGGTCCACGCATAAATCCACTAGAGGGCAGCACAAAAACATTTGATTTGCATCCAGTTGCGTGTAAGGCCGTAGTGCGGGAGGTTTCTTAATAATACAGTCGTCACAAACAGGTAACAAATTCTGTTCATGGACTTTTTCACTAATGGCCATTTTCAAGGCGTCTCTGCGCTGGGTTCGCAGACCCAAGAGCCATTTCAGACCACGTATCTGACCTCATACTACGTCACGTCTGTTAGCCTTTCACCCCAGTGCTCAGGTTACACTTACGTAAAACGAGTCTGAGCACGGGTGGCGCGGTGGCGCACATCGCTGCATCTACATCGAGTTTGTATAATTTCCTCATGTTCCCGTGGGTTTCCTCCAGGCGCCCCAATTTTCTTCCCACAGTCCAGAGACATATTATTAGGTTAATGGGCTCCTGGGAAAATTGGCTCTGGTGTGAGTGTGTGTCTGTCTGCCCTGCAAGGGACTGGCGTCCTATCCTGGGTGTACCCTGCTTAGTGTCCCTGCAACCCTGAATTAGAAAGAGAGGCTGAAAATGGATGAATGGAGACTGAGCACCAGAGTGAGTTCCTTAGGAAAGTCTCTGCAGCCTCTGAAGGTTTAGAGCCGTGGCTCCCCGTCCTGCCCCTGGTGACCCACACACCTGCTGGCTCATGTCCCAGCCCAGCCCTCACTAACACAATCAAACCCTTCATGGCCTTAATAATAAGATTCATTGAAAAGTTTGCTCTTGAACACATTGGAGCTTTGATGGTTATATATTGTAAGTGAAATAAAATCCCAAACCTGTGACTAGGAGCAAAATGCCAATCGTTCTTCTTAGATCAAGTGAGGCTTCAGTGGTCTAATGAAGGGGTGATGGACTGAAAGCCAGCAGGTGTGGGGACCACCAGGACAGCAGGGTTTAGACGTTTCCCGTGTCCCATGCAAATTCAAAGATTCCTCATTTTGGCAGATAGATACAGCTGCGCAGGACATCTGTGGCCGAAAACACTGAAGACGTTCCAAGCAGGCATGCAGTGTACCCTTGCGTGATTGACACACAGACTCAAGACTGGCTACAGAATTAAAACCATTGCCTGCTGTCCAATTTTCAGTTGATTCTGATCAAACAGCTTCCTGTGATGTTGAACCCCTGTGACCTGCGCTGTCAGGTGGAGACCAGTAGACATGAACTGCTGATCTTTGGCACAAGCCAGGCGTCGGCAGTGAAACTGTTATAGGCAGCTGGTGTATACTGAAAGTAACCCACAGAAACCCAAAAGGATTTACATTTCTTAAAAATGGGCCTGAGGACCTACAGAAATGGGGTAATGGCAGAGCACTGAGAAGACGCAACAGCTTGGCTCCCTGTTAACTTTCACCATTCTTTTCTACCTAATTCTCTAACACTGTATTTGCCTCTCTCACTAAATCTGTAAACCTGAGTGGACTCTTTAGACATCTGAAGATGGGTCCGCCAAAAAACTCCCAGAACAGAAAAGGGACACCATGGATTCAAACCAATCCGAGCGCAGATTTTGGCAGAAACCTCGCCCGGCATGGTTTCGAACAGAAGTTCCCAAGATCCAAGGAGTGGGACTTAGGCAAATGAAACCTTTGTATGGTTTCATGTAGCCCGTAGGCATAGGGCCTACTGCAGCGGAAACCAGATACTTCAGATACACAAGAGGCGGGGGGGTTAAAAAAACTGTCCGGCGAGATCGGACCTTGGGGTACTCCACCTGTACCCACAGTTCGTACCCTGGCAGGAAGGGACACGGAGAAGTATAGACTTTTCCCCACCTACTGCTTTCCTCCAGCTCCTCCTGGTTTATTATAGCTCTGCCTTTGACCTGACAGACTGGTTTATTAATAGAAGCCTGGCGCAGCGCTTGACCCAGAAAGTATTCCGGCAATCTCAGCAGGGAGGCTGGACTCGGAGCAGGGAGCAGGACAGGGGTATCCTTCCAGATCACCCGTTTGACACAAAAAACAGGGATCTGCTGCTGTGCTTCAGTGCCAAGCGTGGCTGCAGAGAGTCACCCCAGAATCACCACAAGAGCCCCGCGCGATGGCAAGTTCATTTATCCCTAGGGCAGGCATGTGTAGTCCAGGTCCTGCAGGGCCCTGGGTGTCTAGAGTGTTTCTACATTTCTTTAAAACTCCAGTGTGCAAAGAACTAAAGAGAATTTGTTAAATCGCTCAGATTAAGCAAATAAACTCATTCAGAGCCAAGTCAGAGTGTAAACCTGCAGACCTCTGGCACCCTGTTCTCGAGTTAATTTTCCACCAGTGGTTCCCTGCTCTTGTCCTCAGAGACCAGAACACTGAAGGGCGTCCAAGTCTCCTTCAGGTCTACAGAGCTGTTTGCCTGGGTGAAGTTACACCTTGCAATCGAAGCTGACCAGCACCCATCGGTCCCTTAGTTACAGCTTCGAAAGGAGAAACCCAGCTGGATTCCAAAGCCCAGGAGCCAGCGCTACAGGAAAAGAAGACCCCCGAGAGACAAAGGAAATCAGGGAAAAGCAGGCTCTCGTCAGAGGAGGGAGACTTCAGTGGGAGCTGAGGTTAGTGCTGTTAAGGGTAACTGGGCTGAAAGCTTTTATTGCACAGCTAGTGTGTGGATTTGTACAGCTGCAGGGGGACAAGATGTGTAATGTGCAAGCAGGCGACTTGGCCAAGTATGTGAGAGAGACAGTGCTGCCTAATGCCCGTCCAGTTTAAACCATAACCCCTGCCATCGCCTTGCCTGGCAGAGAAATACCAGGTACCCCACAGCAAAAGCACATAAAGAGTCTTTGGAGATGGGAGTTGTACCCACAGATGGGGGCAGAGAAAGTCAGAAACCACATAATCCCTCTCAGGGTCAGAAAGAGTGCAGCCCAGACTGGAAATGCTAAAGGTGAAGAGTTTAATGTAACGTGGGAGTGAGTGGTCACATTACTACAGCTAGACTGGCCGCCAGAGAGAAAGCACAGCACCAATACGCTGGGCACAGGCTGGGGAAAGCCCTTCATATGCAGGGCGAGGAATGCTCAGCAATTTGGTTCTTAAAAAAAAGCACTTAACCAGACAGTAGTGACTGATTGCAAATAATTTATTCAAAACAAACGATTTCGGAATACATTCTACACACAGAGACCACACTTCTTCCAGAACAGCAAGGAATACGGCAGGGCCAGTAACCATGGCAACTGAGGAACAGTGTGGGGGGTGGGGGGGGCCAACAGTGACCCCCCCCCCCCATGTTCCGAAGGGAAATACAGTCCCTGTTTGACAACAGTCCGGGACGAACGGGCCTTCGGTCAGAACAGCAGTTTAAGGCACTTCTGAAGCACGTACATCTACCAGGCCAGTGGAAGGCAAAGGCACCAAGCACAGTCTTCACTTTACAAGTTCCGCTTGCCAGAAAGGGCGATTCCCAGTTAAAGTGGTTAATGAGCGAGAGAGGACAGTACACAGCCGTGGGGTCTGCTGGCCTGCCGACTCACGCCCTCGGTATTAGCACTCGTTTTCCCCCCAAGTGGAAATCCTGACCCTTCATTTTCCTCAGGCGGCCGGGAATTCCCGCCTCCCCTGCGGAGAAAATCCTGAGCCGACCTGCGCTCCAGGTCAGCGAGCCCTAAGCCGAGTGGCCGGCCTGGCATTGGCGTGGTGTGGCATGATGGGAGCGGAGAGGCAGCGTGGACACCATGCTACCGTATTCCTGCGACAAGTCGACGCACTTCCTTTCCCAGCGTTTGGCAGAATGAGAACTTTTAAGACTGAACCCTTCCCCCCCTCCAGACCAGACACCCTCCCCTCGCCCCCCCCCCACCCCTTCTCCTCGAGGCAGCCGGCGGCGGACCGCTACACGTGCTCGGGGTGGTTCTGCAGGCAGCTGATGAACTCGGTGACAGGGTGGCCCTTGTAGCAGATCTGGTAGATGGCATTGAACAGGGGGAACCTGGGAGGAGAGGAAGGAGGGAGGGGGGAACAGGGTTAGGGGTGGCGCAGGAGAGCATGTGTGGGTGAGAGGGAGCACATGAGAAGGATAAAGAGAATTCACAGACTCTGGGGGGGAGGGTTATAACAGAGCTGTACTGTTCCCACTACACTCCCTGACTATCCAAAGGCACATCTCGTAGACGTTCCACAAGAAAAAATGTTTGCCTTTAACAAAAACTTAATCAATTTGATTATGATGACTTTGAAAGCAGCCAATTACTTGCTCAGACTGACCAAAGGCTGAGGCAGCTCTTCTGTTTACAGCGATAACGATCGATGAGTTAAATAGGGCAGGGTTTGTATTAAAAAGGGCATTAGGACCCGGATCAGGTCAACTCAGAGGACGTCTTCAGAATGAACAACAAGAGGGAACACGTGCAAACTGTGCTTTTCAAGCTGAGAACAGCAGGCACTTCTTTATACTGCGGGAGAGGGGAACAGGCTACCCAGCCCTGCTGCTTTGAAGTGACAGAGCAGCCTGTAGGAAGTAGAAGGTCAAAGTGCCAGTTCCCAGTGGTCTGTGAATTCTCAACCCAACGAGGAGCAATAACAATCCCTCAGGACAGGGGAGTGTGGCTCAGAGCACAAGGTCACCAGCGGCAGTTAAGAGGAAAATCAGGTTAGGTAACTGTGAGGGGTAGCACGGACTGGACAGGTGTAGCAAACAGATTCTCCACCCTTTGTCTTCAATTTGGGTTAAAGTGGTCGGCTACCATTAAGGACACCTTGAAGCACACAGTTTTAGCTCAGTCCTATAGGAAGCAAAATTTGAAAAAAATAAAGATCTGGCCCTTACTTGTGCAGGAGATTCTTGTGACTGAGGATCTGGTTGACTTCTGCGGAGGTCAGGGGTCCCTGGAGCTTCTGTCCATTGAGCATCTCCTTCTCGAGCTGCTCGATCGTCTGCAGGCGGAGGGAGAGAGCAGTCGTTCAGAAGAGAGCTGGGTCTCTGCAGCCCAAGAAGGCCAAGATCTCAGACAACAACAACGGGGGCTGGAGATGCAGGAAGCTGGAGTGTGTTGACAAATTAAGGCGGTTTTGGGGTTTTGGTACATTTTTTAACTGGTGACATGGTGTAAGGGGGTGGCATAGCAAACTCTTTGTCCACGTGAAGGAGAGGCGGAAAAAAATAACTGCGGCCTACCTTGCCCGTTTTGGCAAAGGCTTCTGCCACCTTGCGGTTGCGCCCGCCGTAGCAGGTGGTGATGAGGTCGGCCACGCCGCAGCTCTCCAGGAAGGTGGCGGAGGACACCTGGCTGCTGGTGCAGAAGAGCCTGGCAAAGGCGATCATCTCCATCAGCCCCAGCCGGATCACCGCCGCCTTGGTGTTGTCACCCATCCCCAGGCCGTCGCAGAAGCCCGCGCCCACAGCCACCACGTTCTGCTCAGGGGAGAGATAAATTCACCATGTGGGAGCCCCGCCTCCAGACATGTCAAGTACGTTCATCGCCAACAGGGGGAGACTGCCCCGGTGTTGTTGTGTTGCCCACCCCAGCTTCTGGCAAGCACCCCAGGGGCACAGAACAAGCCATTCAGAGCTAAGCAAGAGCCACAGAAGTTACAAACAAGCTGAGGCCTACTGAGTAACTTGTTCCAAACCCCTACAACTCTTAGTGTACATTTCTCACACCTTTCTGCCTCCGTCCACCCAAAACACAGTTCTGTTGTAAATTACACAGCAGACCCAAACAGTCAAGAGCCTCTGCATGGATCAGTATGGATCCTCCTCAGCCGATCGCTGGAACAGGGAAGAGAGAGCCTCTGCACGCAAGTCAGGGAGCTCAGAGGAAGGAAGCTCACCTTGAGAGCTCCACAGATCTCCACCACATCTGCCTCCTCGACCACAGTAACGCGGAAGTTGGGCGTCTGGAAGAGTTCCTTCAGCAGGGCTCCCTGCTCTTTGTTCCTGCAGCCTGGAAAAAAAAAACAGTTATTTTATTTATTTTTAAAGATACAGCCACCCACACCCACTCCTCCCAGTCTCTCCTCACTATTGCTTCACTTTCTCTCCCCACTGTTCTAGTGTTCTAGAGAGTTTACACATTTGGTAGAAGTGTGGGTTCAACGTGCTGTGCCATTAATAAAGCACTGAGAAGGGGGACCCTGTGCTGTTGCTCCAGCCTGGTTTGCAACACGATCGCTCTCTGCCGGCCCTTACCGATGGTCGTCTCGCAGAACTTCTCCTCCGCCACCTCGCTAGCGATGTTGGCCCCCATGAGCACGCTGACGGCGATACCCAGCTTCTCGCGGATGACCTCCGAGATGAGCTTCAGGCCATCGGGGCCCTCGTCCACCCCCTGCAGGACAGACATCCTGGTTAGAGCCAAGCTGCCTTAGCAAATCGTTGTGGCGCTACTTAAGGAAGGCGGTCAGTTTCCATGCTTTCTACGCTTATAACTCCCGGGATTACAGCGAGCTTCCCCTTCCTCCCCCCCAGCCTTCTAGCACTTCCGAGCAGATCAGATCTACCTTGATGAGCGAGATCCCTATCGCGTCCTTCTTGATCTTTCCCTTCAGGGTGTCACAGATCTTCCCGATGAACTGGTGAGGGATCACGAACACCAGGATGTCGGCCCCTGTGGCCGCGTCCACGATGTCCGGGATGGCCACCTGCAGGATAAGGCATTCGTGGACCAGGCGTAAGACATCCACACAGTGAAAACGGGACCCCTAAAGTTTGGCCCTCACAGGAAAATATCCAGCATGCTTTCAGATCATCCCATCAGGCATCAGCAGTTTGAGAAATGTGGGTTAAACTGGCTTGGAATTTAAAAGGACCTAGAAAAAAGGCTGGATTCCTGATCTCGGCAGCCACAGGAAAGAGAAACCCTGGGTTTAGACTAATTTGTCCGTTACAAGAAGGGAAACTGCATGCAGCGGTTTTTGTTCAGGCATGAATACAAGCTCACACCCTGCAAAACGGCTTCAGTCGGAGCCCTCTGCACCCCATGATCTCAGGTAGGGAAGAATGTGCAGGTCCACTCCGCACACAGCCCTGTCTACCTTTGCCCTCCATTAGTGACACATGCATGATAGCAGCAAGGGCAAAGGTGACCATTCAGTACACAGCCCGCAAGTATTACATTAACAGCGCGCATCACAGCCACAACACAGACTCTGAACCTGCACGAGACACTAAGGGCAGGGAAACCTTGGGCTCCTCTGTGTGGCTGGCTACAGTTGAAGTACACCTGAACTCTAAAAAAAGACCCGCTTCAGACTGTGGACAAGCTAGGAGTCACAGTAGGACCTCTCACCACGTTAGGCGGCAGCTTGTGTCCGGGCAGGTACTTGACGTTCTCGTGGTCGGTGTTGATGATCTCGGTCAGCTTGCGGCCGTTGACCATCTCCTCGAAGACCCACATGTTCACCGTGGTGTCAAACCCGTCCTTCTCGGCAGCGTTGGCCCCGACAATCTTAGCAATGGCCGAGCCCCTGCGCGGAAGGGAAGCAACAGTTACAGACACCATTCCTTGATCTTACAGCAGGGGCTGATGGGTTCTTTTTTTTTTCTCAATGGAAGATCAGCAACTAGAAAACACAGACTGGAAGATCTTGTGCTCAGGTGTCTTGAGGAGCCTTATTCCAAACCACTACTTTAATACTTTCTTGCTGACAATCTGCTCAGATTTTTCTCCACGTGTAAAATGCCTTCCTTGTGCAAGGAAAACTGAGGACAACTAGGCCTCAACAGGGGGAATATGCTGATCAAATAACACCTCTTACACACAAGTTCATTAGTACTCCTTTTCCCCTTGTGATCGCTTCAGCTGGGTGCTGGAGCTAGCAGGGAAGACAATTCTGCATTCTGTGATCAAACTCTTGCCTCACAATCATGTTCAAGTTCAATCAAGTTGGAGTTCATCACAGATCGCGGCGCTCATTGCGCTGTTGATCAATTCAAGGCACGGACCCCAATGCCTCCTGCGAGTGAAGATTTACAGAAAACCAGAGCTCTTGTGGGTCAGAACTGAGGCGCCTTGAATAAAAGCATACAGCTACCCAGAGCAGCAGTTCAGCCTGTTGCCCTCAACTCCTAACTGCTCTCACACAACCAGTAGATAAGGTCACACTACTCCTTATCAATTATAACCCCCACCTTTTACAATTATCAGTCATCATTTATATCAGTCATCAATTTCTAATACAGTAAATCCTAAATACATCCATCTTTTGGTCAATGACATGATGTCCTTTTAATGACTGAGACATCACAGTGTGACATGGTAATCTAAAGCACCGATTAGCTTCTAAATTAAGGTGTAGGACATGATTTCGATTGGTACATTGTATTACCCTGAGAACAACCTGGAGGGCTTCAAAATACACAAGAGATCGCAGATCCCCTTTATAAAATAGAGTTCAGACTACAGATACATGAGAAGCTGGACCAGAACCTAGTCCGGGAGAAGGAACAGGGTCGGCGAATCAGACAGCAGCTCTCAGCCCCCTCCAGGATCACCCTCCAGACGCAGGCCGAGCGGGCAGCGTCAGTGACACAATCGCTGCAAGACAGCTGTGAAGAGGCAGCCCCGTCTGCTCCGAGACGCCCGCTGTTCCACACACGACTGTCCAACAGAGATAGCAAACAGCCTTGACCTCCCCCCCACCCCTCCAAGACACACACACACGTGCACACACACCACCACATTAAACTGGTTCGTTTCAAAACCAGCCTTGAATCACTCTGGAGGGTGACAGCTGCTACAGAGGAGACATGATTCTGCACTGTGGTTGGATAGTGCCAGCCTTGCTACCATGGCAACACAGTTTCCCCCCCTCCCCAGCTGATTCAATAACCCAGGAAGGACTAAGAAAGCTGTCGGATCACGGGTGAAAAACAGAAAAGTTAATGGCTGCATCCACAAGCTACATTACTCTTACTGTAATCCCCAGTAGTGTAGAGTAAGATGTTCACCCATCCCTCCCCACGTCTGAACACAGAGTACCACACAACACAATGAGCTCTGCTCTTCCGGGCTCAGCGGTGCCAGGATCGGGCCAGCCCTGCGCGAACTCCTGTCCCGGGCCCGGGCGGCCTGCCAGCCTGTCCCGACAGGCGGCGCGCAGCTTTGTGTCCCGAAAGGCCTTTGCCATTGTGAGCGTTCAGCCTTTACAGGACACCCATTGTGCTAAAACATCTTACAAAGCCAATTTTGTTGCTGAACTTTGGAAAAACCGGATGCGCACAAAGGCCTCTGAACCGTCCCGGAAGAGCCCAGAATAAAAGGGATGTTGTAGCAGCTCTGGCTACCAGACTGCACTTCAACCTGGGTTACATCTCTGCTACACGTACTAACGCCTGAAATAAACGGGGACCCAAAAGAATTTAACAGCACTTTTAAATGTGATCTCCTGTAAAATAGTGGCTGACCTCATCATGTCATTGACTCATGATTACAGAGCCTAATGCGTCTGTGTAGTGTAGCACCTTCCTCACTGCCTTAATGGACATTATAATAAACTATCCCCTTATTCTGAATAAAAAAAATTCCCTGAAATTGCATGAATGGCAGTTCAGGATCTAAATCCGGGATGACCGGAAAGTGTGAATTATATTACAATGCATGAAGTCTGAATGCCTAGCTTACAGAACTTTAGTCTTAAATATGGAAATCAAATAAAATCGACTGTCAAAATGTACATTGGCAGTCAGTGCGATGTCCCCGCTTTCCACACAACAGATGCGCGCACAGTCGGACTTTTCCTGCTCCTCGCTTGCACGCCACGTGATCCCGGCGACAAGAATGGAGACTGGGAATAAACTTGAAAGACCGTACTTCACGATTCCGCACGACAGACTGAAGACTTCACTGGATAATTAGTATCAGAATTAATGACATGGACAGTTTCCAAAAGGTGTATGTCCAGTTAGGCTTCCGAATTTTTTTTAATTCAATACACATTTTTCAAGACCCCTCTGGTTTTTTAATGACTGAATTTTGCTAGAAGTTGGGAGGAATGGTTAGACCACAGGGATCCCAAATTCAGAAAAAAAGTTTTCTAAGGCAAACTTACAAATGTCCCATAACTATAAAGATTTGAGTTCCATTAATAAGCGAGTTTAAGCTCACTTTATTAAAATAATTTAAACCGCGCAAGACGGTGCAAGGTCTAACTTTCGTGAAGTAGGTAAAACGGTGCCGTATTAAAACTGAAGCAGAAGTAGCCTTTTACCAGTAATTCCAAGAGCTTCTGAATACTGCGGTGCTTGTGCTAACCGGCGGGACCTGTTACTGCTACCATACAGTATACTGCACCTGCTGTCCTGACACCTTGTGGACTTAGCTCCCTAGCCAGTCTGGGCATTAACTGAAATGCAGCTACAGTACTCTCGCTTTTTTCCTAGAAACCATTGAAATATTCCTGCTCGACAGCACTCCGTGTAAGGATAGGCTCGCCCTGCACAGCCACTCATACGTCAACTGAGCTATCGCGCATTATTAAAGGTGCCAGTAACAGCAGGCAATCGTGCACCTAGCGTCTTAGCTCCGGGGGGGGAAAAACGTTAAGAAAAAAAAAAGGTTTAGTCTCGTTACTTACCAATTACCAGAGCCGACGATGCAGGCTTTCTTTGGTGCTGCCATTGTATGTCTTGTACAGAATCTCACAGCTGCCAAATCCGAATGCTGTAAAATCTAACTCACCCAGCGGCGCACTCAGGTATTTATGCCCCGCACGTGGCGTCGCAGTGACCCCAGTCCCGCCCCTTACCTCTGATTGGCTGAAGAGCTGAAAGGGGCAGGGTAACTACTTCCCGGCTCCTGTCACGCAGCCTTTTGCCCGCCCCCGCCGAGATGCACATCTCGGGAACATTTGATTAAAGCGCCAGTTCTGTTGATTGAATTTAACATCAACCCGGAGATAAACGAATTAGATCTCGTCCCACCCAAACACCCAGCGTTGACGCCCATCATTGAGACATGTTTGCATGGCCCTCAGGCGTCGATAGCTGATTCGGTCAAGGGACTGACTTTCCCCCCGATACAATTCCACTATCATGCTACACGATCCTCTCACTTTTATCACCATAGAAGTCCCTAAAACAGATACTACTATTGGATTGCATATTGTTTTTTCGGCATCGCTGAAATGTTCGAGCACATTTTTAAATACATCACGTTTCCAACCTAAACAATAACTCCAGAATACCCACTCCTAACCACGACTCGAGCTACGCATAGATAATTAAATTTAAGAGGCGCCACATACCTAAATACGTTTAAAGCAAGCATTAAAGGGGTATCAGGACGCAGAGACAAAAATATTTTGATAAAGGTTTAAGATCAACCTCTGTCTGTCAAGCACTGCACTTAAAACTAGTAAACCCTAAAAGTACATCTTCTTGACTCACAATACTGAATGCAGGAGTGCCTACAGCTGATTTCATCAACATGAAAGACATTCACATGAAGCAAAAAAAACTTTTCTAAATTCTTCAAGCAAAAGGGAGACATGGGGTGATATTTTCGATTATTTCAAGGGAGTGAAATCTTGTCCAAGAGGCTTCAGAACGCTGCACAGACAAGCCTCACTAGGTATCTCACCCCACTTTCTCATCAGCCGTGAGCAGACCTGTCCCGAAACATTTCAGATGGGAAGAATTAAGAAGGCAAATAAAAGAAAAAACAGGGGAGATGTTACCGCATGAAGAACGCATACATGTGATGGCATCCTAAACTGCATCTCTTAGTATCTTTTCAAACTGGGAATGATGAGATTGTGTTTCTACAGAATTACCATTAGCCTCTTCTGTGATCCATTACTCAAGAGTCCTCACATCTAAAACTTGAAAAACTATATCAATGAAACAAACAAGTTCATGGGCGCTTTTGGGACAATGCATAAAAAAAAAGATAAAGCACTTTTAAAGTCAAGAAGCTCTTTATTAAAATAAGGGTAACACAGTAAATACAAAATACAACAAAACAATTTGGTCCATAAAGGGGGAGAAGAAAAAAAAAATCCCTAAGACTGAGTATATTCATGTATTTGAGCCTCCAGGGATTGCTGCTGCTGCAGACACACTAATCCAACAGTTACAATTAAATTGCATGTCAGTGTAACTTGACACGAGAGGAAAGGGAGTAATATGCGCATATTCTGTATCTCTACCACTAACTTCAATAACCAGATACTATCCCACCCAGTGGAGTTTTGTTACAAAGTCAACTTTCCATAGTAAAGTCAAAATTGTTTGATGATTTACGTATGGCTTGTTGCAATAAAAAGTCTAACATAATAATTCAATATTGTTTTTTTTGCAGCTTTTTTTCTTATCATTTGAATCTTAAGGGTAAACATACACAAAGATTAAATGGATATAAATGATTACATCCACCACAATAACCGGGTTCCACATTCCAGCTTTCTTTACTTATTCACTGTCCCATCCCCTCATTCCACAACTCCTTGTAGAGGAAATAAAAATGGCACAGGATCTGTATGTAATTCAGCTAACTAGACTAACCTATGGCAAACTGCCTACACTCAAACACCTGTGGCTAGAGAACGGTGCTTATCTAGTTGGTCTTTAGTATTCTAAACTCAACAAGAGTGAGGGTCACAAACCCCCACAAAAAAGCAGATAAATGGTCCCTTCGAGGCAAATCCCAGTGCTGCGTCACAGCTTGTACCAGCCAGAACACTTATGTTTGTCTAGAGGACTGAACCTGGGAAGCTACAGAGAGGAGTTTGGAGGAAAAGCTGCCAATGAAAGAACAATGTTTAAAAGCATCAGTTAATTCATCAGGTTCAAAACACCCAGCTGGTTAACTGTAGGTAGGTTACTAGTCAGGGAAGGTCACTGTGCAAAGAAAAGGTCACGGAGCCACGGATCAATGATCCATTGAATACCATCTTCCACCTATACTTCCTGCACTGGTGCCAAACCCTGTGAGATGTCAGCACCAAACACAGTCAAACACTGCTCAAAGGCTACATCGACAGCTGCATCACAGATCAATGGAGGCCATTCAGAAAAATGGCCATATAAGGATTCCTACTTCTGAAAAATGTTATCGAACAGTCACTACAAGTAGTTTTCACTGTATACTAAAGGTCCACTGTGGAGGCAAGGCAGTTCTGGAGACGTCAGGAGGACAGATGGGGAGCATTCAGGTTTACAGGCAATCAGGGCATCAGATGAGAACAAAATCACCCCAAAACCCCAAAAATGAAGAGAGAGGGAGGATCTCCACATGGTGCCGCTGGCTATCTGGGTGGTGTTTGATATAATCAGACTCAGAAGGCCTTATCTTTTGGACAGACAATAGCTTCAGCCCTGTTTAAAGGCAGCATATTAAGAATGATGGAGTCACAGAGTCTGTGAGTGGAGCAATGTTCTGGTGACCCTCCCACTCGCCATGCCCTGGCCATGCCCCCTCCTGGCTGACATCGCTCAGGTCTAAGTGTTTCTGATTCCAAGAGCCTGCTCCAGCTCCTGCCTCCTCTGCTGGACCTGAAACAGAAGGAAATCACATGTTGAGGTCTTCAGAGTGACTGAAGTGTTCTATGACTTTAATGCAGAGTATGCAATATTTTGTGAAAACACAGAATACAAGTTCTGAATACAGAATACAAAAAGTGGCAACTAGGCAAAAGGAAAGCAGAACAGCGTTTGTTCGAGAAGATATAAAAATATACTTGTGATGATTAAAACACATCCTCCATCTCTGAGAAAAGGTTTTAATTTAGGGATGTCTAAATCTAAGAGCAGAGGGCTAATATGTCTGTGGACTTTTCACTTCAACTCAGCTTTTAATGAACTAAACTAGAAAGTTTAACTGCACCACTTTAACAGCTTCTCCAAGCTCTTCGAGTACTGCTGTTTAAAGAGATCTGGATATCCTGCACACACACCACTGTACAAAATTACTTAAGATATTTTACCTTCTGAGCAGGTGTCGTCCAGCTTTCCTTTTATTTAAAACTTTCTTTTCATAACCTAAATCATCACAGAATTCACCTAATCCAGAAAACACTGCAGAAAAAGTTACTTTTCCCACAAACAGTTAGAATTATGAAGAAGCTGTACTTCATCCCAGCTCACAAATATGTAAATGCTTAACTGCTATATCATTTCAAGGAGCTGTGAACAAATCCAGACACAAGACACCGATAGTTTTGCAAACTTGCAGCAAAGGCTGCCTTGCCGTTCAGACCCGCAGAACAAGCTGAAATATCAGAGATGAAGAATCCCCCGACAGATGAGGAAGACGTAAACCACTCGCAGCTCACAGCTCACATCAGAGGTTACCTTGGAGTAGAAGTAGCGGCACACTGCCTCCTGAGCCCAGGGCTGGAAGTAGAACTCGGCTCTGCGCTCTTCCTCTGGGTTGCCCACCACATCAGTCATTGTCTGGGAACAGAACAGTCCACCTTTGAGACCCCTTAGGAACCAAATACTGGCCACTTCACCTAAGGCTTCTGCCACTCAAACGCCACATAAAAGATTCTATATTTCAATATTTATTGCCATGCCAACTTAGTTGTTAGGAAATTGCCTTAGTGTACTCATGACAGTGAAACAATAAAAACAGTAAAACAAAGACATCAGGCACAACATAACATTAAATCATAAGATATAATCAGATTACTTGAAGAATAAACATGAAAAACAAAATAAATACATAAATAAAATAATAAGAATAAAAAAATCGAATACAGTATAAAATAAAGTGACTGGTGTATTGGAGGGTTAATAGTACACTTGGACTGTCAAAAGTCATCATAAAGTGCTGACAAACAATTAGGGAGCTGTTCAATATCATGCTCAAAACTCATGCTCACAGTGGTAAAAATGCCAATTATGAAAGTTATTAAAGGGCAAACAGTCAGTAGTTTGTCATTTTACTAGTACCAGTCCACACTTTGGGACTGACCTATTATAACACCAAACCGCAAACTGCAATTTTATACAGGGTTTCACAGAAAATTCACAGGACCTCACTTATGACCATGGATGGGAGTTCAAGCACAGTACTGACAGGTGCATTTGTTACAGCTAACAATACTGCTGAGTGTCCCTTGATTCAGTTACCTCGGGACCTCTGCCAAGAGAGACTACAGTAAGCATTTGCTTAACAGGAAGGGAAGCTGAATAAGATAAAATTACATAACTTAGGACAAGGCAGATATACAAGAATCCTGCATTTAAAATAAATTGGCCGCCCATGTGTGAAGTAACACCAGCTACACTTATTTTTCCAGACTCATTCCATTCACATCTCACGTTTTTTATTCTTTTATTTAAAGAGTTAAAAAAACATTATATTTACAATAATTTATTTTTTTCAATAATTACCATTGCAATTATATTACTGTAAATTACAATTACATAATTTACAGTGACAACTCAAAAAGATGTGCTCATCCAACAAGGCAGTTATTGGAGGAATCTGCAGGAAGTATTTCTGAACTTTTATCGCCCTACTCCCCACCTCGCAACCTCCGCTCTTCAAATTCTGCCCTCCTTACTGTCCCCCAAGCCCGTCTACATTGTATGGGCGACAGGGCCTTCTCCTGCTATGCCCCCAAGCTCTGGAACTCCTTGCCCAAGGATATTAGAGAGTCACCTTCTCTAAACTCCTTCAAATCCAGACTCAAAACCCTCCTTTTCAGAAAAGCCTTTACTTAACTGGTTCCATTCTTCACCCCTCTGCTCTTCTTAATACCATCTTCCACGGTCTCCTCTATTGTTATTGTTGTATTGTTGTAATTATAATTGTGTCCTGTCTTGTGAAATTTTCTTATTTATTGTTGTAGTCTTCTTATTTATTGTTATTGTCATCCTGTAAAGCGCTTTGAGAAGCCACCTTTAAAGGCGCTATATAAAATAAAGTTTATTATTATTATTATTATATTATTTTCCTTAGGGGTAAGGCTTCCCACATGGGGTTTGAAACCCCAAAACTTCCATCTGGGAGTCAAGAGCCCTAACCACTACTCCACACTACTGAACTATCCTGGCTGTGGCGACTAGGTTGCACAACACTGCAGAAAGGATTTCAAAACTCTGAAGCTAAACAGTCGTTTCATCCAGTGTTTGACCTTTGACACTCCAGTGGAAAGCTTTTATCTTTGTCCTATATTCTCAACTTGTTAGAGATGATTTACTCAACAGTTTGGGCTCCATATGAATGATTTTTAACCAAAATCAGGCACCTCAAGGCATTAGATCAGTTAAGAATTTTGCAACTCTTATGCAACAGATAACATTTTCAATCAGAGCAATCAAGTCACTTTAGATTCAGGCACTGCCTAGATGTGTAGACAGAAATGCTTTGTGGGAGACCCACCTTCAGATCCCTGCACTGTGACTGCAGCCAGTCATTAATGAATCCCTGTGGGTCTCGGGCAAAGCTCAGCATGAACTCCCTTTGCGTTTTGAGCTGGTTGATGGTCTCTATAGTTTCATGGATCTGGGAAGAGAAAGCAGACATCGCAGGATCTAAATACAATCACTTTGAACTGAGAACAGAAAAGGATGCACTTAATTCAGATTAAATTTACGTTAATATAATCAGTGCATGATGGGATAAAACATTGCCTGCTAGGGCTAAATAAAGGCTGTAATTGTTTTAGATATTTTTTTTAAATGGCACGTTAATAATAACTGTGACAAATGACTAAATAAAAAGGACCAGCTGAAGTTTCTAAGAATATCTGACAGTCCCAATACTAGCAGTTTCTGTTATGGTCTTGGTTTTTGGAGCATCATAGGAATAAGAAAACACTAAAAAAGGTTTTGGAGTTAGATTTAATCAACATAAATTAGTACACAAAACAACTGTTTCCAGTTCTATAAGAAGTCAGGTGCTGTCCTATAGCAAAGTCCAGAGAGGTTTCATTAGTTCAATGTGGAAAAGTAGGCAGGAGTATTGTGTGTGACATCTTGTGTTTTCCCATCCCTTGTAACACGTAAAGCTTTGTGAGAAAACAGCATTATTGAAATACCTTTTCCAAAAGCTCATGGGATGATAAATGTAGCGAGAGGCTGAGATTAATGTTTTAGCATTGTGAATTCGTAACACTATAACCACCAATCACAACTCAGACCTACATCATCCAAGACTACCTTGTATATAAAGATTTATCGCCTGCTGTGAAAACCCCATCCGGCTACAGACTTTAGATAAAATGGCAAAAAAAAAAATCTTTACAACAAATGGTAAGATGCTTTGACAGAAATACATAAAAAAAAAATATGGAAAACATGTCTTGCAAAAACAGCCTCGTTTTTTTCCCCCCACTGATAAGGAGGCAGCCTGGATGCAGAAGCCATTGAAATGTGTGCAGAATGCTTAATTTTTGGTGCATAGCTACAAGTCACATTCCTGGCTGCATGCAAGCAGAAGTAGTGAATTAAATTTTCTCTTTGTCACTGCAGATAAGGCTGCTCCTAACTCGGAAACAGACAGAAGCACACAGATCCCTGAATTCCTCATAGGGATCCTGCCAACATTTTAACTGATGGTCATAATCCTTAAATGTTTTCATTTAAAACTTTTTTAATTTAAGCATTTTATCCACAAACTAGACATCTGTTGAATCACTGAATGTTTACCAACAGTTTTGATTTTCATTACAAGTTTGCACATTTAAAAAAAAATCAATTTTTTTAACTGGATGAGTGTAAAGCATACAAAAAAAATGAAAGAATGGGAAAAGTGGAAAAAATAAATAGGACCTTGAGTGACTGCAGAAATCAATAACCAAACCCTTACCGTGAACCTCAAAGTAAACAGATCTCCTGAATAATGAGCTGCTTTGCCTTGAGCAAAAACTATATTACACAGCCCAGACCCTGAGAACTTGAAATGTCTTAAATGTTTTAGGGAATAATTTTAGGAGCAGAAATCTACAAACTCTGGCTTCTTGTGTCTCCTAAGAGGTGCTTACAAGATGTTAAACCTTCTCTGATAACACTGGTATCAAGACAAACAGACTAAACCATGTAATTCCTTGCAATTATATCTTTCCATCTATAGGGACTTCAATGCACTTTACACTTAGGAGAAGTATGTCCTTTACTAAAGGCCCAGCTCCACAGTAGTGGGTCAGGTGGAGGAGTGTGACATTACTTCAATACCTGTAGCAAGGTGGAACATTAAGGGGGGGGACAGGCTGTATAAAGCCGGGGTAGAACCTAGTCAGGACATCAGGGTAAGCATCCCTACTCTTCTGAGCAGTCTGACAAGAGTGTAATAAAACAGTCAGGAAGCTGATTAAGTGTTTAACTGGAAGGACAGCATCTCTTACAGGGGTGTTCCCTGATACTAAACAATATTTCAGCAGGGTTGCAAATAAGGTTATGATACACATTCAGAAAAAATCCAGACAATGTCAGAATGCACAAATTAATTTCTTTGAGCAACATATGCAGGGCTGAGCACACTTGGACACCTTAACCTTAAATGGTTAAAAAATTGGTTGTAAAGGGAATTTTGGTTATAAAAAACAGGTGTAACTGCTGTGTTAAGTAGATCCACAGGACATTAAATTTCCAGCATCAGGACGCCAAGCAGCAAATATGACAAAAAAAAATCACATAAGGATGGAAAGACTTTACACCCCAGCAAAATATTCTGTAATTGTCGAACAATTGCACAGTGTTTGAGAAGTTCATAAAGAATGGCATATTTGTACCAATTCCATCAAAAGCAGCTGCAGTGAAGCAAACTGCAATTCCACAAGCCCACGTTAGAGTACGTACACATTATTAAACATCTCACACAACCACAAAAACACACTTTGGCACGTGTTCATGAATGCATGGCTGGTCTACAAACAGCTACATTCTTCGAAAATAAAAAGTTTTTGTAGACCAAAAAACATTAAATGCATAGTTTGATTTTTAGATAGCACTTAACCTTAATGCCCATACGTGGGAAGGGCCCACAGTCATTTTCAAAGATGATTACTTTTGTAACTAGACCCCAAACAAAGTATGGAGTATAGATTTCCTTCAATGGTATGACACATCGGTACCCTGCATTAAAAATCCGTTACCTTGTTGTCCAGCCCTGCAATCTCCTGCTGGCTGGCTGTGGACAGCAGGAAGGAGTTCATCTGGGTCTTCAGTGTGTCATCCACCTCTACATCAATGTCATAGCAGGCTGTCTTCTTCTGGTCATTGGGGTCAACACTGTATAACAAGATGTAACATTGACAGACTGCACTCTGGACAGTGGTTAGTTTTTTTTTATAGCATGCAAGTAATTGGTTAGCTAGGTCAATAATGCCCTCTGGAGACAGGATGGCTCTGTCCTTCCCTAATGACTTAATTGAAAGCCCACTGCTTCTGCGTGGTACACCTGAGATTATACAACTGTGACCATGACTCTACCATGAGAATGTGAGGAAATTATAAGTCCTGCTCAGTGCTGCCTACAGTGTTGTACATACTGCACAATAAAAACATGTTAGGGTGTTAAGGAACAAGTAAAGGTTCATTCCATGCTGAAAAAAGGAAACACAATATTTCGGTTTTGGGTGTTGAAGAAGGCTCCATAGCCTAAACTTTTCCTTTCTTCTCTTTTCAGCATGGAATAAACCTTTACTTGTCCCTTTGCAGCCTACACATGCTGACGCAGGTGCCTACTTGAACTATGATAGGGTGTTTACAAGCTGTAAGCTGGGAGAGATCCATAAAAAACAATCATATCCTTGGCAGAGGAGATGCTAATTAATAGTTACTTTGGCCTTAGCCCACTTAGTTGTCTTGCACAACTAAAATTAAAATAAGAACATTTCCTCAGCCTACATTCATCGTGCCTACCATCCTACTCATTTATACCCTCCTTTAAAATTAAGTTTTATTTTTAACGCATGAGAACAACCGGAAATTTTGCAGTGGCGTATTATACAAGTCACACACTAAATGTGCAATGTCACGCTCCAGAGGTGGGACTCGGAGCTCAATCCAGGAGTGCGAAGAGCCCAACTGCTGAGCAAGAGGCAGCCGAGATCCGGGGAACTGAGAGGAGGGTGCTGACAGCGAACAGCTGGGCAGTACTGAGGGTTACAGGAACAGGGCAGAGTGGGGAGCTCACATGGAGACCGTGTTGCTGCAGCACACTGTTGCAGGGTCTGTCCTTCCCTAATGATGCAATTGAAAACCTACTGCTTCTGTGCGGAAAACCTGCCCGGTACACCTGAGATCATACAACTGTTTCACGTGACTGTGATTCTACCATGAGAACGTGAGGAATTATAAGTCCTTCTCATCGCTGCCTAGAGTGGGTATGTGGGTAAACCTGCGCATTAGGGCAGAATAGGGTTGAAATGCAAACGAAGCAGGGGTTGTAACCGGGAGGGAGACGGTAGCAGACAAAGCCAAGAAGGATCCAGGTGAGAGGTCAAGGCTTCAATCTGAGTGAACAGCCAGAGACATCTTGGATCAAAGGGGTGATCCAAGGACACGGTCATGGGAACAAAAGTCAGATAACAAGCAAAGTCAAACAGGAGAGAAAAAGACAGAAATGGCACTCGAGGGGCTCAGTGTCCAAACGCAGAGACAGAGCCCCGAGCACTTATTCTGACGGGCACCTGGAAGAGGTGTGATCGTATACCGACACCAAGTGCTCCGAGTGTCCAGATGATTAGTATTCTGCAGCAGGTGGAGACGGGAGTCAGAGCAGCAGCAGCAGCCAGGCCAAGCGTGACGAAATGTGTTGGGAATGGATACAGGTTAATTGTTCTCAAAGAACCCCCCACCACGAACTATTTATGGAACAGAGACGACGTTTCTCAAATTTGCATTTGTGAACTCCTGAGATGCACAGCAGCAGTGCGTGGAAGCAAACTGACTGGCGCTGACCAATGCAGCAGACTGCACACAGCTGTGACGCTGGAGGCATATTCACCTGATGACGTGGTTGATGATGATTGGCTCTGGGGGCATCAGCAGAGCGTGCAAACGCTGAGGGATCTCGGAGAACTTCATTCGCTGGGTCTCAAATATCTACAAGATTAACAAGCAGTTGGATTGATACAATCGACACTGGGAGCATCTGTAGCGCCAGATGAAGAAGAGAGAAGCAGATTATGCTCAAGAGTCTTGACAGCTAAAAACAATAATACGTGAAGATATCTTTCCAATGAGATTAGCAGAACATCATTCAAAATAGAAGACTTGCACAAAACAGAAACTCAAAAAATCACTAAGTCTGAAGTACACTTGAAAAAGTGGCTCTTACGTTTTCAAGATCCAATTTCATGCTTCCTGAACTTATAATAAGAACATAAGAAAGGTTACAAATGAAAGAAGGCAATTTGTCCAATTCAGGTTGTTTGGTTGCTTAGTAGCTAATTGATCAAAAGATCTAGTCTGGCTGTTTCTTTAAAAAAGCCGGAGTATTTGCTAATCATGTTTCACTATTGATTCTGAAGGAGTTCGCTGGAATGACACTCTGAATGCATTGGAGGATTTTGAACACTTCAGTCAGGTCCCCACATAGTCTTCTGTGCTCAATACTAAGTAGGTCCCATTACTTTAACCTCTCAGAGAAGGACATTCCTTTAAGACCTAGATTGTAGGTCCAGACAGATTCCAGAGCAACAACAAATTATTTTAATGTGATGACCAAAATTTTACACATTATTCTAAACAAGGTCTTACAAGTGCCCTGTACATCATTAAAATATCTGGTGATTTAAATAGATAATTTTAACCAATACATCTTAACACTATTTACCTTTATGCATAAAATGATATTTATATTGTATATGATTGTTTTCACCCATAACAAAGACTGTTCATTGCACTCCACATTTAATTAACTGTAGAGACTTTTACACATATATTCATCTTAAATTACATACTTAAGCTAAAAAAAGATGCCTGCTTAAAACTTCAAGTGGTCAAAATAGTTAAGTGTAACATCAGCTGCTCTCTGTAGAGTCAGAGTAGATGAACATGAACCAGGTTTTCCACACCAGTGGCATGACTTAGTTGACTTGTCTTCTAAATACACTTCAAAAATAAAGAACACACACAATCTAAAACTGTAAATATTATAATGCTTAAAGCAACATGGACCAGAGAGTCGCATATTCAAATCCTGGGCAGCATATTGCAGTTGTACCCCTTAGGAAGATGCCTCACTCAAATGGCTCCATGCTTCACTTCCGTGGTTATCACAGTAAACAGGAGCTCGAGAGCTTGTTCTCAACTACCTTAGCAAGTCGCGTAAAGAATGAAGAAGCAAAGCAAACAGCTCCTCCTACCTGTTGGAGGTATTTGTCGCAGTTGATAAACTCCCGCTCGTGCGGGTCCTGCAGCTTGTGGGTTTTGACATATTGCCAGAGGGCCTGGATGATGACCGGGCGGGTCTGGGTGTGAATGCCCAGCATGCGAGCCAGTCGAGGGTCCAGTTTGAACTGAGGAGGCTGGAGGACCGCAAGGGTAGAAGGTTTAGGTTAAAATTAGAATCAAAGCATAAAACAAACTCAAGATTAAATCAAGTTCTAAAAAAACTCAATTATCCTACTGCTCCTCAAGTCATCAGGTGTCCAACTATAGAGATAGATATTCTTTAGTAAAACATTCAGACCAAAAAAATAGTAAATATAGCTTCGCTATATTTATAGTATATTTTGGGGGTTAGAAAGAATCGGCTTTGATGAGTGCATTTCAAACAACAATGAAAGTATAATGTACACACTAACATGTAAAACCTCCAATATACATAATAAAATAGACAATTTTCAAATATGTGCAGAGCCATATTCTGCCATTCCCTATTCTGATACGAGGCGACAAAACGTCCGGTGAGGTGATGGGGCCGCATCACATTGTAAACAAGCATGCTTGTGAATACTCTGGAAGCCTCCTGGAAGAGGTGTTTGTGGGGCCAGCAGGGGGCGCTCACCCTGCAGTCCACGTGGGTCCTAATGCCCCAGTATAGTGACGGGGACACTATACTGTAAAAACAGGTGCCGTCCTTCGGATGAGACGTAAAACCGAGGTCCTGACTCTCTGTGATCATTAAAAATCCCAGGGCGTTTCTCGAAAAGAGTAGGGGTGTAACCCGGCGTCCTGGCCAAATTTCCCATTGGCCTTTACCAATCATGGCCTCCTAATAATCCCCCTTTATGAATTGGCTACATTACTCTGTTCTCCTCCCCACTGATATCTGATGTGTGGTGAGCGTTCTGGCGCACTATGGCTGCCGTCGCATCATCCAGGTGGATGCTGAACATTGGTGGTGGTGGAGGGGAGTCCCCATTACCTGTAAAGCGCTTTGAGTGGAGTGTCCAGAAAAGCACTATATAAGTGTAAGCAATTATTATTATCATCCAGATGGATGCTGCACATTGGTGGTGGAGGAGTGGAGTGTTCAAAAAATTGATATGTATTATTACATTTAATTTTTATCATTTTTAATCTTAATCTTTTTAAAAACAGAATAGAATAGAAATATTGCTCTCGACTGAGAAGGTTTTGGCGATCACAATGAACATTTCTGCGGTGAAATTTCTGCTGCTTATTTGTTTATACATCACATTACATTAGTTACTGCATTGACTAGTGAGCAGGAAGGATCGCTTCAGGTCACAATTAGTGCAAGCTCTTGCTCTCACCCACTGCGAGACTAAAGGTTTGCAACAACAATGGCAACCACACAGTACTTTCATTAAGTTCACAATTTTGCACTTAATTTGTAGTCTGTAAACCTTCGCGATATAATCAATTAGTTGCTGAGATTTAATAACCGGCCTGAGGAACTGGGACCACAGACCCCCTTTAAGATATGCAAGAGGCACTGCTCTGCTGCCACCATGTGGCAGTCTTTGGTAGCTCCTGCTGGTGATGCAACAAAAGTGAACTTCAGCAAAGCAAACATCTGCAGCACCAGTTTCCTTTGTAAAGAACACTCAATTGCAGCCTTAAGTCTTAAAACCGTTCTTCTGGTTTTCTTGTAAATATCAACGATGCTTTCATTAAGTGTTGTAGTAAACTTAATTTTAATTTGTCATTCACTATTGTGTGGCACCTTGATTATTTTTCTGGAGCACCCTTGTATATGTGGCAAACTTGGGCATTGCAGTTTAAAAGTTGACCCTCCATCCACACCTATCCCCAGGGATTCTTGGTGATGACAGAAAGAATCAGACAGAGGGTTCAAGCAGAGGAAATGAGGTTTCTTTGCAGGGCTGCTGGGCTTGTTCTAAGCTATTAAGACAGACTCAGCGTGGAGCTCCAGATCAACAGGACCCAGCTGAGGTGGACTGAGCACCCAGTGAGGACCTCGCTGGAGATCTACGGGGCACTTCCCACTGGGAGGGGGGATAAAGGCCAACCAAGACACACCAGATGACACCCCCTCTTCCCTGACTTGTTCATATACCCCACTTTTCTCAGCTATCCAGGAGAGACTCAGAGTGGAGCTCCAGATCAACAGGACCGAGCTGAAGTGGGCTGAGCACCCGGTGAGAATCCCACTGGAGATGTACTGGGCACCTCCCACTGGGAAGAGGGAGAAACCCCAGGTGCAGCCGAGGCAAAAGGATGAATTCCAAATGCAAAGGCTAAAATGTAGTGAATGATGACATCCGATTGTTTCACCTTTCCCACAATTTATTTCTGCCATTGTGGCAGCTAAGCACCATTTTGTACAAAACTACTTCCCACTGTGGCGTTTACCTGGTAGTCCAGCATGAGGAGCACTGTGCAGCGCACTCCCACGTCACCAGGTCTCTTCACCTGGAAACCGTCCGTCTCCTGGGTGGTAGCAGTCCTGTGCCACTGAAAACAGTCACATTAGATCCTTTATTAGGCCCTAATCACAGACGTGCATTTCACACCATCTGGCACATTCACATGCACAGATAATTAGTGTATATCCACTCTTTCAATCCCGCACAGCCTGAGGAGAAGCCTTCGCTTCTGGCTGACACAGATTAAGCTTTTCCCAAATTAAATCACAAGGCGAGAGATGAACTCAGTGGTTTCAATGAACTTAAAACAATTTAGCTCATCCTTTGGAAATCTTTCAATAAAAGCAGCCAGTCAAACAAGGAGTCTAGTTTTTACAATCAGCTCTTGGTTGGAACTGTGTTAGCTATGCATCGGAGTCAATCATTCCATTGAGGATTGTGGTACTGTGTATTTTTCATTTACCTGGAGTATAGCTCGAGAAGTAAGGTGAAAAATATGGTCACAGTGAAAAATACATTGCTTTCTTCCCTGTCAGAAATTCTACACTGCCCATCCCTCATCTACTCGGGAGATGCTGCAACGTCAAGGAAACATGCTCAAGACTTTTACACCAAAAGCTTCAAGAACAGATACATTGTTCGTCACCCAGTTTTGGTGAAAAGCACCATCTGGTTTATTGCAGCCTGTCTGTCTTTTCAGGTTTTTCACTCTGTTGATGCCCAAGTGGAAAAACGCCCACACTCCACATTCTTCCGCAGTGCTCTCTCCTTCTTGTCATTAAGGTTGGAGACTTCATTTAATGGGCCTTTTCATTTCTGGATTTTAATTCTGACAAAAGAAGCCGGCAGAACACATCGTTTGTGCCAAGATGATAAAAAAAATCAATTCCGAACCACCCCATTAACTCAGACGTGTTCATCTGCTGTCACTATATTTCACTTCAATAAGCCTTTTTAACAGCTTTTAAAAAAAATAACTTGCTAATATGGTGCCCTAATTAGCTAGTTCATTGCTCTGTGTATCCGATCCTCTCAGCAAAGGCATTCTCTCATGAAAATTAATGCTTCCATTATTTCCATATTAACTCTGCAGTTTATTTTCTTGATAAGCGGTGCAAGGGCATCTTCTGACAATGTCTGCGTAAGGAAAGCACTTTGCAATGACCTCCATGCAGCCAGAAAAGCTAGAAAAGTTTGAGTTTATTCTGACATTTTAAATCTGAACGTCTATAAATGGTATAAAGATTTTAATGGCCATTTGAAAAGAAAGTGAAGGCGAACAGAACCCTCGAATAATGAACTCAATGCATTAGGAAAGGTCCTTTCCTCCAAAGGAAAAGACCTTGGTTATGAAGAACAGTATTTCACACTCACCTCCACCAAGTGGTTGTCAGGGCCATACAAGTCCTTGTCTAATTCAATCACCAGAGATTTGAAGAAAGAGGAAAATTTCCTTTTCTGTTTCGTGGCATCATACTTGGATACAGCTGTCTGAAATACAGGCCAGGGCAAGAAACCGGTTACTAAAGCATTAAAGGCTGGGACTGTAACATCACCTGCAAGTGTATTCAACAATGGCAAAATAATTATAGGGCATGCAATTACGGCACAATAACTACAGCATGGTTTACGTGGCTGCCTTAATAACTCATCAAATTCACCTCACACCACACCAAGGAGCAAGGAGAGCTGAAGACCAGTGAGAATCCTTCAGTTTCGCACAGTTCGGGCCACATTCTCTCATGATTCTAAACAATGAACATTGCCAACTAACCCTGGCTGGCAATTCATTCAAATCCTGGATTAGGAGGCCAAAATATAGCAACCCAGCCTGGGCTATTGCCCAATCCACTCCACTCCAGTGCTTTAGTGCTAAAAAGTTATATGGATACTGTCCATATAACAAGGTGTTAGTTGCACAGAAGAACTGGAGCAAAGCGGACTAGAAGGGCCGCAGTTGAAACAGCCATGAAATAAGCAACATGCAACTCTTGCTGCTGTTAGTTTAAAGGAGAGACAGGGTTGCCCAGCCTAGCACATCTTTCTTCTGCCAGGGCCCTGATCGTGATGTTCACGTGTCCCAGTTTCTCTCTCTACCGATAAAATACAGCCCCCACCCACACTGTCCCTGGAAGGGCAACATACTCACATCCTCAAGGAGTCTGCCTTCCACACGCAGCTCCCAGGAGGCCACAGTTCCCTCGCCGTCCTCCGCATCAGGCTTGGCAGGATTAAACGTATTTGAAATGAAAATGCGAAGCTTTCGCTTTTGCTAAAGGGATGACAAAAAAAATGGGTTGACAAGGTTTTCTAACAATTTCAAGATCAAAGTTAAATCCTCAGTTGCTTCAAACAGGCAGCTGCATGCCTTTCATGTGTCCAGATGGCAGAGGACTCCGGAGAATGGCTCACCTAACATGGGATCTTGAAAAAGAAATTCTCCCACCCAACACCTTTTATAAATTTAAAATAAATAAATAAAATCCAATCTCAAATTACGGAAAATAATATAACAAATCATGGTTTGCAAAAGGCAAAATTCCAAATAAAAAAATCATACTACTACTTGTTTTGCTGTATGCGATTGACAGCCTCCACCATGCAATGCTGCAAACTTAACATTGCAGTTTAGCAAGTCAAGCAACAGGAGTCCAGCACTGGTCACTGCAGACCAACGGATTGGTACTCAAGACTCAATATTGAACAAATCCAATTAAACATGCAAGCAGAGCAACATCTGAACTGGTCAATTTCACTTTAACATTCCTTTAAACTGAACCAATTCATAGGCAAGTGTAAAAAGGTGTACTTCAATTTATCTTTGCTGCCTTCACCTTGATAGGCCGTTTGAGTGCCTCCTGAATGTCAAGTCTTTTCCGCATTATAGTCTGGTCCAGTTTCCTCTCGAACGCCAGAAGATCCATGTAGGCCTGCGATTCTGGTACCAGCTCTCTGATCTGTATGGGAAGTTTGAGAATATTAAGTAGCTGTCAGAAGTTCAATTCAACTGCGAAACAAGACAGACTGCCTGCACAGATGTTGTGGGAAAAGTGCAAAAACCAATTAGATTCAATAGAAGAGCTTTAATTGTTACCAAGTGACAGAGATTTAATGAACACTGTACCGAAAGACATCTGCCTCTTTCACTCACACAAAGAGGAATATTATCAGTAATCTTTTGCAACTATTCTTCAGTTTGATTTAGATGCAAAGAACCCAGGTTTTAAGCATCTTAAAATGTGGTCCAAGACATCCAAGTCACAGCAGTCTCTAGAAGGTGATTTAAGTATAGGCACTTCATACTACAATGTTTAAGGTTTCAAAGCTGTCTTGGAGAACATAACTCTTTAGAAAACAATTGGCGAATACTTCATTTTTACATTCAAAGAACCGAGACACACGGTTTTGGACTCCTTAAAGGCTCAGCAACATGTTTTTAAAACTCTTACACTCACCCTCTGAGGTAGAATTTTATCCGCCATCTTTTTTTTCTTTGCACTGAGGATAAAGGGAAAATTTGCTTAACTTAATGCATTAGGAAAGGCCTTTCCCTCATTACTCATAAAACCCACATTAACAGACACTGCTGATGCAATTTGCATTGCAAATGCACAATGTATAGTTTGGATCAATCAAGAAAAAATAAAAGCAGCTGTACAACCATGCGTTAGGAACAGAATTCTTATAGTACAGATGTCTCACTCTCAGCTTAAGTAAATTACAGCTATGCACATTGCTATCTATTTCGTATTGAATGAAGGCTACATGACAATTAATATGCATTAACGTCCCAGCTTTCACTAACATCATAAAACCACTACCATAATATGAAATTTAATTAGTTTTAATTCTGGAGATTAAGGTCATGCTTATGAGCAATACTTCGATTTGGTTTGGTCTACAGAATAACCATAGTACACCACCAAATGTGCAATACACATTTCCCAGATGTTTATCTGGAAAAGCACCTATCCATAAAGCAGTAATGAGCAAAGTTCTCTTACTGTTGGTTGCGGTTCTGAGCCGCCTGTTGTTGCACTTGCTGGATTTGCTGTGGTGCAGGTCTCTTGCGGGACTGGTCCATCACCGGCATGCCAGGTCTCGAGACTGGACTGGCACCATAGCCAGGCGGGCCCATCGACGGGCCCTGAGGGGTCATCCGACTACCTGGAGGCATCCCAGGACGCTGGAGAGGAAAGGAAAGGATGACCGGAGAAAATACACTTAGATTTCATGAAACATACTCATCTCGCTCTCTGTGCCTCATTTTACGCAGTTGCGGTTAGCGCTATACACTGCTACGTTTGGTGCAGTGATGCTATTTGTTTGGTGCAATTAAGTAATAAAGTGTCTAAAGAATTACACAAGGCATATTTCCAAAGCAAATTTATGTTTTAATTGAACATATCTGCATAAAATGTGTTGTAACTAACAAAAAAGCTGGTTCTTAAATTACCTGAAAAATAAAGAATGTTTAAAGTCTTAAACTAAAAGATGGACAAGTGAAAACTATGTGGAAGTGTATGTTAAACTAAGATCAGGAGGCACTTTGCCTAAAGGGTTGTGGGAGGGTGGAACAAGCCACCCAATCCATGTTGTTGAAGCCGACACCCTGATCTTCCCTCAAGAAACAGCTGGGTGAGATTCAGGATTGACGAGATACTACCAAACATGTTTGAGTCGCCCAATGGCTTCCTCTTGTTTGCAACTGTCCATACTCTTAAGTGCACAAGAAATTCTGCTTTTTTTCTGAACTGCTTTCTTTTACTGAGCTAAAAATAAGGTTACTAATTGTAATATCCAGCTACATTTATGCACCACGTTTTCCACATATATTGTAGTGTACACTACACATCAACAGCAGTGCTCACATCCACCGACACCTCTGTGCTAAGAGGCTGCATACACGATCAAAGACGTCTCCAGTAATACTGTCTATCCCATGCATTAATAAGCCACTAGCTCCCTTAAAGCTTAACAGAGGACAAGCCTGCCGAGGTGCCAAGCTACACTCTCAATCTCTTCCTGCTAACTAAGCAGAGTGATAATTACAGCAAGCCACAGAACCAGAAAACAAATACCAAGAACAGCATAATTAATTGCACATTTAGTCTATAAATATACTATCTGCCATTTCTTTAGGACTAAGGATAAAAAGCAAAATGTATTGCATTAGCCACAAGACAAATTAAAAGGAAGCAATTTAAAAACATCCAGGTAAACTGTAGAAAGTTAAGAGAAACCTGTGAAAATGCCCATGCCATTACAGAACATGCTATAAATATTACAGCTCTGTTCACTGACACAGTCCTGTGAAACAGGATCATCATTCATTCACACTTTCGGAAAGACGAAAGCAATGGTTTGACGCACTTTCAAAGAACAAGTAGTACAGGGTGAAAAAGAATATGTAAAATTGCAAATGAGGCAGTCGAAGAGAAGGGCAGAAAAGCTAAGGCAGCCAGAACAACTCACCCAGCCGTGCGCCAGGAACTCAAAGAGCCTGCTCCGGGTCTCTGAATGCATCGCAGCCTGACACGAGGCAGTGCCCCCCCAGCCCGACGAGCAGCCGGCACGCCGCCTGGCATCAGCCCACATTCCTGGCCCTCTCCACTCCCGCGTTCTGCTCCGCGACGCCACTACCGTACCCCCCGGTGGAGGAGCCGCCGCGCTGCACCGCAGGCCAGCGCAACACCATCCCTACAGAACCCGCATCCCTGCCGTCAGCGACTCCGCAGCTCGGAACAGAGGCTTCTCCTGGAGAATCTGATGCAGGCTCTCGGAGGAGGTCTCGTGCGCGTTTGTTTTCCTTTAACCTAGAACACGCGTGCCCCCACACAACGTCCACCAGAAACAACACTTAACTTTGTGCGGCGCTCATCCTGAAGGGGAGGATGCTCAGGAGCTCCGAAAAGCCTCATGACATGTAGGCCACTTGACTTTTCTGCATCCTGTGGCACTGGCATTTAGTGCCTCCCCCCTCCACGCTACCCTTACGTTTTGCAAATGGCAAGGATTTTGTGGCTCAGAACTGGAGAATGTCTTACCGCGACGTACTTTCAAAAGCGTGCGTCTATCACTAAAGGCACACGAGCGTTCAATAAACCAGAAATTACAACAAACAAGAATAATTCCACATCTCCCTCCCTCACACTGCTACTACATAGCTGCGTCTCCCGTCTTTCATAGGCAGCAGAACTAACCTTGGGCTTCCCTGAACAATCGGTGTGTCTGTAAAGCGTGCTGGCTTTGGAGCGGCTTTCACGCAGACATATTGTGCTGCCGCTGAAGGCCACAGGAGAGAACAGAACATCCTTTCAGTGGCGCCATTTACGCGCTTACAAAAGGCAGAAGATGCTATAAGACCTGAAACGCAACAACATGATTGCTAACAGTATTTGACCGTGAACCAAAGAAACAACGCAGTGAGCCGAAGGGATTTAACTGAATTCGCTTCTGTGGCGAATAATTCCCACGTCGACAAAAAGTTCTGCTTAAACTGCACTAGTCCCATCAAAGAAGCACATCTTTGTTCTTCCAAGCGCTCCAGCTCTCTCCCAGGTATATCAGAATGACCTGACCACCTTGAGGTGCGGGCATGTGCCAAAATGTCGGATCTGAAGATAATGGCAGGTGGAACCAAGAGAAAAATGGAGTGTATCCTGCAGCCCCACAGGTTTTTGCGTAGACCCAACACTTCACTGGCAGCAATCTCTTGTTCCCCTTTTGTGCACCATACCGATCTAAGTTAGGAATTGCTTTGCTAAGGGCAGTTTCTGCTTCCAGAGAGGACTGCTGTCATCTAGGTCTCTTTACCAAAAAGCCCAGAACACAGCCTTACAGCCCTGGGTTTATTGACCAGCGTGAGAGGTCCAGCCCTGCTCTTCCCCCACCACGATTCTGGGACAGAAGCTCATAAGCGATGAGCTTGCACGGTGGCGAACTCTACGACACCAGAAAACCGGATGTTCTCCGGGCAGTGAATTCTGCAGCGTCTGAGATCCCAGGTGAGCAAAGTCACCTTCTGCCACAAGCTCAGAGAGCTCAGTGCTGCAGAGTCCAACCAATTACAGTTGGCAGAATTCACTAGGAGCAACAACACCCAAGAATTAAGTATATTGAAAGGTTTATTGAGTGTTTTAGTCACAGTAAATCTGGCTTGGCCCGGCTTGTCTGAGGGCTACCCTCCTGACCACAGGACAAGGAGGCCGAGACCCCTCCGTGGAGTGAGGAGTGACCCAAGGGCAGATGCATAGGGATGCAGGAGACATGTGAGGGAGAGAAGGGGATCACGTATAGCATTTATAATGTTTTAGGTGAGGAAATTACATAAAGAGTGATTACAGGCAGCTTAGATTGATTCAGTTCCGGTACCGTCCCATCTCCTAAACTTTTGTTATGAACTCCAGTCATCGCCTCCAGTGATTTTCTGTGTTGCTCCTCCTGCCATTACTGAGCCCCCCCCTAACAAACCCATCAATGACATCAGCACAGAGAGAATTCTAACTGGTACCAAACACGAACACATTACTCCACACCTGGCCCACCCACACTGGCAACACGTGACATTCAATCTTCACCTAGTCATCCAGAATGAAGATCCCAGTCACCCTTCTGATGAGCTAACCTAAGATCCAAAGGACACCCTTTAATTCTGTTCTTCTGTCACTCAACAGGTCTAACGTAGATGGTCAGTATTGACAAACCCTCTTTTAGAAGAAGACTGCCTCCTCTAAGGGAGGTGTGGGGTTTGCCAACGTGGCCTTTTTGCAATGCACATGCAAAGACAAAAAACAAAACTTCAGGAAAACCAAAGGCAGTGTGCACAGCGCAGTGGTTTGGCACGATATTTCAAGCAGCAGACTGCTGCTCAGACCATACATGTATTTAAGATTTTTATCTTCACACGTCTGTGAAGGCAAACTCATTCAGAATAATTGTCCCCAGCTTGAACAAACCCAAATATGGCTTTGCCTTTTGGAAAGAAAACTGCAGCTCGTAAATTCTGACATGGGTCTCATACCATCTGATGCTGCTGTGCCACGGAAATCATCATAAAGGGATTCAAATATTATATTGCTACCGAGGTTAAAAGTACACGCTGTTCGTATTTTAACATCATAATTTAGCAAACGTGGGATTCCTTCAAATATTCACACCTAACTTTAAAAACTTCAGCCCTTCATGAATAGCGAGAACTACCTTAATTCAACACACATCAGCCCTACTTCGATACCTTATTTCAACTGTAGGGGAGGCTGAGGCGCTAAATTTAATTTGCAGCAAATCAGTCGTCGTGGCTATTGCTTATTCTGATCGCCAGTTGCAAACTTAGAAAGTTCAGTATCTTCGTTTTCTCCAGCAAGAAGACCCCGAAAAGCCTTTTCAGTTCTGCTTCCCCACCATCTGTGAGAAATACGACCACCTCCACGATAATTAGTCACACATTTCCCCCCACCCACCCCGTCTTAATTATGCCGGGCCTAAGCCTTGCTCTGACCGGGGAATACTGTGAACCGCATCCCTCATCAACAAGGGAAACAAGAGGGAAAGGGTGAGAGAGAATGAACTACAGCTGCAAAAATATATACACCCGCAACTTCGGCCACACAGCTGTAGAGCTCATAATTGTGCTTTATCAGGAAGAAGCCTGGAAAGATAGAAACGGAGTGCGTTCAGCATCTTCAGCGTCACTTTCCTGGATATTGCAATGCAGAGGACATCCCTACAGTACAGCTGGACAATGCATGTGTATCACCTGGGCACGCTGTACCGGGAAATCAGCAAACCTTATCCCCACCCTCACCTCCTACGGCACATAAGCTGGTAAATGAGCCGTTTCTCTCAACGGCGGTTTAGCAACACAGCACACAAGCACAGAACTAAGAAAAACAGATATTCATCCGAAGTTTTCTCCTTGCCGATTTATATTCTACCGCCTCTCTCTAACCGGTATACCCGGGTAGTTCAGTTTGAGCACCTGATAAAATATAAAGACGTTCGCTGGTCCTAATCCACACACAACCCCCTCCCTCGCTTCTCCGTCTTTCCCGGCTCCCTTTGTTCCCCTGACGTTACCGCCTCCCCCTCCTTACCGGGTATCCGGGCCCTGGCATTGGGGAGCGGTAAAGGTGGTTCTGTGCTGCCGAGGAAGGACCCATCCGGCCCGAGGGAGTCCCCGGTCCCATTCCCGGCCCAGCACCCGGTCCCGGCTGCCCTGGACCCAGCCCTCCACCGCCGCCTCCTGCTGCCGCCGCTTGGAAGCCACCGCGAGCCGCCATCTTCTCCCCGCTGAGCCCGTGGTGAAGAGGATATCGCGAGAGGGGCTGTACGAGATTTTGCTCACTGGTTGTCATAGAAACTGAAGAAGCAGCAATTATTCACACGGCTCTGAGCACACGCTGAACTCGATCGAAGCCATATTGCTGAAGGACGTGAAAGCAACGTTTATTTCCTAATTTGTCTTTAATATGAATAATTATGGTTTCAATGAAATGACTAATATGGAACGTGCGCAATGTTTATGTATCGTACGAGAATCAAAATCAGAACTCGTGTAAATTCAGTGTAGTTTTTAATTGTTTTATTATTTTGCTTTTGCAAGCAACTTTCTGGCTCGTAGATTCCCGTGCCGAATATAGTTTTCCATATAGACAAACATCAAAATATACATCTTGCGATTTTCACATTGGAATATTACTGTAAACCATCACAATTGCGTCTTCAATCTAATCAATGCGCTTAACTTCCCAAACTTCTCAATCATTTCTGCGTCGCCGGTTCAGTTTTACTGGCTATAAAAAGTGCTCGAGATAGTAACCAGCAGATGTCGCTGCTCTTCATTTTCCTCAGTGGAAGAATAGGTCTGTAATCCTTATATTCTTATGTAAAGCAGTAAATGAAGATAGATGGACTGATACAAATATTTATGATCTGACACGATTATTTAAACACCAGCCTCCCATGGTGAATATCTTGATATAACTATTATTTGCTAGCATTTTGGTCTTGTGTGCATCAATCAAGTGACATTCACTGGATTAACTTCAGTCTGAATGAGGTCACTTGGCACAAACTAATCTTCTGCACTGTAACCAGATTCTCATTGGTAAATACAGCTATGAAACAGAATGAATTATGAAACTGACAAGACTATACACACACCTTAGGAAGAACACCTTTTGTGTTATGCATGTTTTGTTTTAGAAAAAGCATGTCTTAAGGGAATTATGTGTTCCTTGTAAGCAGCATATAAACGCCCACTTCACAAGTCAACATATAGCTATACCACACTGATGGTATAAACAGCTATCCATGGCTGCTTACTATAATAAAACCTAAACTATATTACTTTAATAATATTTACACTCTATATAATGTACAGTACATTATAGGTTACTTTAATAATATATTAAATCACATTTAATATTCACATTACCATTAGGGACTGATTGGTTAAAAAGTAGATTGTGGACTTGATATTCCTATCTGTACAAAGCGAAACGTATTTGAAGAGTTGGATCAGCAACCATGGTATTTCTGTGCACGGATGAACAGCTTTACTGTTTGATTTCACAGTCCTACGTAACAGAACGGCTTTACAGAGCCAAGCAGACGACGAGTGCTGAGCTTCTCTTCCTCCGACAGCCCATTTGCAGGGGCTGCGAAGTTTCACTTGGTTGCTTGCCTCCCATTAGCCTCATGCAGAGCAGAATTGGGCATCCTTCTAACACGTTGAGAGCCGTCTTCACCGGCAGATGTCGGGGAAAAAAAGAACATTCTCTCATCCTAGGAGGATAATTATCCTGAAACAATGCATCACAGCTGACATGTCCTCCACGCCTCCCTTTTCCTCTTCATCCTGAAGAAGTGCTTTCTGTCAGTCCTAACAAGGGTGACCTCATATCTCATCGCGTTTGTCAGAGCCAATTTAAGTGCAGACGGGAGAGGGGCAATGTCGGAGCCGTCAGGAGAGGAGATGCTCTCTGCTAACCACTATCTGTTCAGCAACCCGGCCCACCTCTCCTGCTTCGCCGGTCAAAGGTCCCACTGCTAGGAGAACTCAATCGTGACAGGTGGGGGAACGGAGAAGCGAAGTTCGCAGATCGATCTGCGGGAGAGTACCGGTCTGCTCTGTGAGCTTGCCAGCTGGGCCAGGGAGCAGATGAGTAGCCCCGCTCACGGAAAAGATGACATTGTTCCTCCCTGTCCGATTTGCATCACACACAGCCGAACGGCATTTGCGCGTTCCTCCAGATGGGAAATGCATTCTGGAATCGGGGGTTTAGGATACACCCACTACCAGGATGTCCCCTCTATGTGACGGTCTCAAATGGGCATACTGCAATGTATTTAAATTGCATTAAAAAATCTAAAACTACGTTTGAATGATTTTTTTTTAAGGCACAGTGTTAATTACCCAGCTGCGAGGACGTGGCATCTGCCTTTTTCACTCAGAATGTCAGAATGTCGATCTCCTTTGCATTCAGCCTGTCAGTCTGTCTGTCTCAGCCAATGTCAATCAGAACCCCCCCCCACTCACAAACAAACTTCCCCTTTCGGCTTATTGATTCCTTGATCTCTGGCGTGCTTCCTTGGCTGCTCTGTGCTCCTGTCTAGCTTTCTGAAAAGTTCATCTCCGATTTAATACACTAATCACATCGAGCTAATTGAATAATACTTGTAGCTGGGCCACAGGCTAATGGAATTGTGTTTGCTCGCGTTTGTGGTGCACAAGCTAAAGTCCTGTATTATATTACTGAAGTTTTTTTTTTCCAGAAAAGGTCCCTGTTTTTGTTAAAATGATAGGTGTCTTTAGAAGTCTGCAGTAAGTCGGAGCCCTTCAGAGATAGAGAGATGAAATGTTGTCCCATCCTTCATTGCAATCTCCTATAACAGCACATGTTGCAGATGATATGGATGACTAAATCCTTTTTTTAAACATGAGGGCCAATTTGGTTTATGTTGTTGGAGCACGGCAGCTTTTGAAAAAGTCCCTGCAGCTCTGCTGACACAATCCTATCATTCCTGTGAGAAAACAATTCTGAAGGATACACAAACAGGCCCTGTGGATTTCAGAGCCTGAGACCTGCCATGTCAGATGTCAAGGTTTGCTGTGAAAAGACAGACACATGGTCCCCAGTGAATCCACAGTGAAGGATATTTGCAGCAGTTGCTGGCCCAGTTGCACAAAACAAAGCAAGAACATTTTATATATTTCACTTAAGGGGTCCTTGACTCTGTGTTGCACAGGGTAGCAGAAGGACACTGAATCCAATATCCCAGTTAAGAGGAAATACATAATATTCAAGGGGTTTAATACTTTGATTGGGTGGCACAGTGGCACTGTGGTTAATGTTGCTGCTTCTCTGGGGCTCTGAGCTGAATTCTGGACCTGGGGTGCTATCTGTGAGGAGTCTGCATGCGTTTGGGCTTTGTGAGTGTGTCCCCTCCAGGGTGTGTTCTGCTTGTGCTTCTTGTATGCTAGGATAGGCTCCATCCCCCAACCCTGTACCTGGATGGGAAGAAGTGGTTAGAAAATGGGTGGATGGAATACTTAAGTCTTCTATGTAGGAAAGCGAACGCTGCCGATTCTTTTTATAAGAAAATGCAGTGACTCTCCTATGCCTGGGATAGGGTGCTATAGAATATCACATAGGGCCTCTACCGATGTCAGGAGCAAATAAAGACTTACACAGAACAGGATTTCTGTGATGGATGACAGGGCTCATTTTACCGTTGTACTTCCTAGGAAACAGCTTGAAAACGGTGCAATTAATCACTTTCTCTACAACCAAGATTTTCCTGCTCCGAGATTCATCACGGAGGAGGAGGAGGCTCTGTCTGAAGTCCCTCCCCACCCCAACACCCCCGCTCCTTATCTCCCCTGCCTTTGCGGGCTGATATCTGCTCACATGCTGTCACCAGGAAGGAAGGCAGGCGAGGAGACACAAATTAATTAATTTGAAGCTGGAAACTCTTGTCCTTCCCATTAGCCAAGCTTCTTAAGATGGGAGCATTTCGTGGTTCAATCTTGGAAGAGGGCCCTTCCACAGCTACCCCCCCCCATGACTAAAATCTACGTCCTCTAAAGAACACCATTTGTCTCCTCCTTACTCTCTCTTTTCCTCTTTCTCTCACGCAGCTGGGGCAAGATCTGAAGAGTGGTTCGGCTTGCAGAATACAGGCTAGATCACATTAAATCACCACACATGTCTGGCTGTGTGCCCCTACACCCCCGCCCCCATAGAAACAGGGATGTCAGATGGAAAAGTGAAACCATTGTCCCAGCGGGACTGTCTTGAAGGTAACTGAAAGCAGTAAGAAAATATTAAAGAAAACGCTTTCTCAGTTCACTCCTGTTCCGTCTGACATTTCACCGGGAGGCGCTAACAGTGTTAAAACTGACGGGTGACACTCGATGGCGGCTCTCGAAGTGCCTCGCTCATAACTCACGCAGCGTTGTCAGCAGCACTCCCAGACGCAGTCTTTTCTGCTGTTTTTGTGCCGATAAGGCCGGGTGCCTCTGACAATTTACAGTAAAACAATGCTGCTCTTTGGAAAACACTCCATGGGCGAACTGCACAGTGCCGTATGGATCTGAAGGCTCTTGTGTGGGTGGGGTTGATCTGACAGAAGCACTCTGGTGGTTTCTCGTGTTGGTACCAGTGCCCTGCTTCAGCAAACAGCTGTAACACGATTTGTCCCTCTATAGTGAAGCCTGGAGATGGGCACTGAAAGGTAATAATAATAATAATAATAATAATAATTGCTTACACTTATATAGCGGTTTTCTGGACACTCCACTCAAAGCACTTTACAGGTGATGGGGACTCCCCTCCACCACCACCAGTGTGCAGCCCCACCTGGATGATGCGACGGCAGCCATAGTGCGCCAGAACGCTCACCACACACCAGCTATCAGTGGGGAGGAGAGCAGAGTAATGTAGCCAATTCATAGATGGGGATTATTAGGAGGCCATGATTGGTAAGGGCCAATGGGAAATTTGGCCAGGACGCCGGGGTTACACCCCTACTCTTTTCGAGAAACTCCCTGGGATAGGTCATCCCTCCCTTTTTCCCGCAGCTGGCACAGCCTGATGGCCCTTTCCCTTGGGGCGCCCTGCCAACCTGGCAGTCCTCATGCTCCGCTCGCCACTCTACCCCCAGGGCGCCCACATGGAACGTTACCAAGACGCCTTACAAGGTGAAAAGGCAGCAGATCATTGCCTGTAAGTAACCTGATGTACCGCTCTAGTTCACGGCTCTGGCAAATCCTGGTCTGGACAGGTCCTTCCAAAGACACCAAGC